CAATCTAGTTTATACTTGTATGTCGTGTGCATCACATAGTAATTCTAGGCTAATAACCGGAATAAGAGCACATAATGTTTTCAAAACTCGATATCATGGTTAGTAGAGGCCGATCTTTGATCGGGCGAGCGAGGGTGCTCACGAAGTGACCTTCCCCAATCGTACTAAAGTTCCCGAGCCGAGGCAACATTGGTGATGACGGACACGTGGCCTTAGGCACGAGTCAGGGTTTCCTAAATTCCCCCAAAATAAAATATTTAGGTGGCGACTCTGTATCTGGCAAAGCAGTCCATGTTTGGCACTTCTTTCTAAAAAATCAGTTTGTCAAAATGGTTTACCGGATTTGGAATCTTTGATGATTCATCAGTCTTGCATTGCACTCTGCGAGATTAGATACATGACCGTGACATTGAGTCTTGAACCGTAGTAAGTCCAAATGAACAAAACGGGATTTCCTCCCGGGACGTTCGGGGACGTCTACAAGAGGTCTTGTCCACAACTAGCCATTACGAGGAGTGCTTTAGGGTCCCTATAGTCCAGAGGTCATTAGGCAAGCTAGGGTCTGAAATAGAATTTTTAGCCAGTTCAATCTAGGCAGGCATCTAAGGTGGTACAAGGGGTCACATCAACACAGTTAGCGCGATCGACCTATATTTCGAACGGTGATCAAAGTAAGCAAAGACCACACGGGCGAGTTTATGCTATCACTGCGTCGAAGTAATCTTCTAGGCCATCAATGATGAGAGGTACATATCTTAATTATAATACCTGAGCCAGTGCATATAGATACCAGAGCATCGCATTCATTAATGGCATCTGCATTTGCATTCACGTTGGGCTTAGAGATTGAATGACTAGAGTCTTCACTCATTGTAGAGTCACCAATTTGGGGTTATGGTAACTTAGATTGGGTGTGTTGGGGGTGTGTGATTGAAATCGCTGGTCGCCAACTTCCTTTCAATCTTGTATTATTACAGATGTTCGGTTTTGATGTCGTCCTTAGTATGGATTGGTTATCTACCTATCATGCCACCATAGATTGCTACCGTGGAAGAGTTACTATGTGCACTGTAGGAGGAGATCATTTCTATTTTCTGGGAGATAGGGCAGATAATGGGTTGTCGCTGGCGTAGAACCCACAAAATCAAGGCGAACTTAGTTTCCATCTTGCAGCCATTGTAGATGATCAAAGTGATGTGACATGGGGGGTACTTCCTAAGGTGGTTTGTGAATATTCAGATGTTTTTCCCAAAGATCTCACTGAACTGCCACCTTATCGAGAGGTTAAGTTTTCTATAGATCTGGTGCCTGGCACGGTACCCATCTCTATGTGACCTTACCGATTTGCACCAGCAGAGTTGCTTGTTCAAAATGAACAATTGCAAGAGTTGCTAGACAAGGGTTTTATTTTCCCTAGTACCTCACCTTGGGGAGCTCCTACTCTTTTTGCCAAAAAGAAGGATGGTACATTGTGATTATGCATCGACTACCACAAGTTGAATACAGTCATGATTAAAAATAAGAATTCATTGGCTAGAATAGATGATCTTTATGATCAACTTAAGAGTTTCCGATGTTTCTCAAAGATAGACCTAAGATCGGGTTATCATCAATTGCATCTGAAAGAGGAAGATATTCCAAAGATGGCTTTTTGTACATAGTGTGGTCATTACAAATTTCTGGTGATGCCATTTGGCTTAACTAATGCCCCTGCCACTTTTATGGACTTAATGAATCAAGCTTTTCAAGATTATCTTGCTAAATTTGTGGTGGTGTTCGTGGATGACATTCTTATTTATTAATCATCTAAGGACGAGCATGAAAAGAACCTTTGCATCGTCTTACAATTGCTTAGGGAACACCGGTTGTATGCTAAGTATGAGAAATATGACTTTTGGCTTTTTGCGGTGAAGTTTTTGGGTCATGCTGTCTCTGAGGAGGGGATTACAGTAGACTCTTCAAAAATTGAGGCCATTCAAAATTGGAAATGACCTAAGAATGCCTTCGAGATATGTAGCTTTTTGGGTCTTGCTGGGTATTATAGGGAGTTTGTGAAAGACTTTTCTACTCCAGGATCACCATTGACGAGACTAACCAGAAAGTGGTTAATGTTTGTCTGGAGTGGATCATGTGAAAAATCCTTCTTACCGTTGAAGCTAGATTGACTTGTGCACCAATTTTTATCATTCCAGAGAGAGAGTTGGGCTACACTGCGTATTGTGATGCTTCTAGGGAAGGATTGGGATTTGTTTTGATGCAGGAAGGTATAGTTGTAGCGTATGGTTCCCGTCAGTTGAAGACTCATAAGAAGAACTACCCTATGCACGATCTTCAACTAGCCGCTGTGTTTTTTGCTCTAAAACTTTGGAGGCATTATCTCTATGGGGAGAAATTTGAAGTATTCTCGGATCATAAAAGTCTTAAATATTTGTTATGACAAAAGATTTGAACCTACTTCAAAGGAGATGGATGGATTTCATGGACGATTATGATTTTGAATTGCATTACCATCCGAGGAAGGCCAATGTGGTGGCTGACGCTTTGGGTAGAAAGTCTATGGGTACTATTGCCAGTCTAGCCGTGAGGGAGTAGGAGATGTTGGGTGATCTAAATGGGTTTAACTTGCAACATAGCGAGTCTCTTGAACAAGCCACTTTGTTTATAGTCCTTGCATAACCCACACTTGTCTCATGAGTTACAGAAGCACAACAAGGCAATGCAGAAGTAAAGGCAATTTGGGATAAAATCTCACAAGGAGGAAAAAGGGTTAAGAGTACATTTTGACTCAAGCATTCGGTTTGTAGACCGTGTAACATGTCCGCGGGGGGGACCTCGCTGCTACAGTTCGGACTCGACTTGTGTCACGGTTCTTAATCTGAACCAAAGAGTCCAAATCTAGCAAATCGTTTTGAGAAACAGATTTTTGAAAAAGTAGTGCCAGACATGGACTGCTTTGCCAGATACAGAGTCGCCACCTAAATATTTTTAAAATGGGGAAATTTAGGAAACCCTGACTCGGTGCCGAAGGCCACATGTCCGTCATCACCGGAGTTGTCTCGGCTCGGGAGCTTGGGTACGATCGGGGAAGGTCAGCTATGAGCACCCCCTTTCGCCCGGTCCGAAGACCGGCCTCTACTAACCGTGATATCCGTTTTTGAAAACTTTATGTGTTCTTTAAACCAATTGTTAGCTACATCATCTTCCTCGTGTATGATTCTTAGCACTGGTGTGGTAGTTCCTTGGGGAGGGTGAATTGCAGAATTGCCATACATAGTAGCAATCCCACCTTGAAAGGGGTACTTTACCAGTTGGTGATTAGTTGACGACACAGCCTTCATCTGGTGGAGCCAGGGTCTTCCCAATAGCAAGTTAAAGGTTTTTGTTACATCCATAACATGGCATTCCAACTCATGTTCGGATGGGCCGATAAGGATATGGCTTTTGAACGTTCCCATGACATCCCGACTTGTATTGTCATAAGCCAAGATAGCTTGGGTCATGGGTGTAAAGTCAATCGGCCTCAAACTGATAGCATAGGCAGTTCTCACTAGACATACATTGATTGCCGATCCGGTATCTACTAACACCACTGAAATCTATTTTTTCAGACTTTTCAAGGTTATATATAAAGGACGGTTGTGGTTGGTGCCCTCGGGAGGCAATTCTTTATCCATAAAGGATATTATTGGCATAACATCCCCAGAGGTGACCAACGACATGAATTTGTCGGGGGTGGTGTCAATGGGCAGTTTGGTTCGGTTCGGTTCATTTCTTCGAGCAGGGCTTGTCTATGCTCCCGAGATGCCATTATCTGTCGCCAGATGGATATGTTGGCCTGGATGTTCTTCAGTTGTTTCAGGACCAGGTTTTCTTCAGCATCTTTCTCCTTTGCTTTCTTAGCCTCTCCGTTGGAAGATTCTGGCTGATCCAAAGTCAAGGGTTTAAAGTACCGACCACTGCTGGTCAGATGATCAATCTCATCAGTATACCACGTATCATCAGGAGTATCATCTTTCTACCCTTCATCTGTATATGCATAGCTTAGATCGCTATCTTCCCATCACTCCCTCGCAGTCATGGTTGGGCTACTATCAGGTTCTATTCTAAGCATGTTAACATCACGCGCCCCATCGTCATACCATTATTCCTCCACTACAGCTCGGGTTTCAGCATCCCAGTACTTTCTGAGTTTTCTTAACATTCTCTTCTTGTCACTGGGTTCCCACTCAGTTTTCTTGGTCTTTTGAACACTACCGATTGTGGACTCAACCTCTTCTTTCTCTTTTTCCCTTTCCTGTTTGAGAGCTATTTTCTTCTGGATCTCTTCTATCTTTTCCTTTTGAAATTGTTCCGATGCCCGTTCTTTCTCAATCAGAGGTGCAATCTCAGCCTTGCCACTAGCACCACTTTCTTCTTCATTCCTAGTCTCTCCCATCTGTTCCTACACATCAGACTCTTCCTTATTCAACCACCCGTTGCCTGTTTTTGGCTGGCTCGGGTCCCACCATCCCATTTGCACATAGCTTGTATCTTCTTCCTTGAAGGTAGACGGTAGTGTATGGATGTGGTTAATTTTTTAGTAAAAGGATCAACTATCTTGGCCATTGAAACAACAGTACTGACATCTGCAGGCCGTGGAATAGTGCTACTGCTAGCATTGGTATTATGAGAGAATGGCCTTCATTATAATAGAATGACCATTCTATTATAATATCTTTTCTTACGTTTTGTTCCTTCAAACGTAATGAAAAAAATATATACATATATTATAAATAAAATCATTATTCATCTTGTAACAATTATTCCATTAAAAAGATAATATTACCTTACCATAATCAAAGGCACCCATTAATAAATTGTTGACCTCGAGTCTTTATGTGCAACTAGATTTTTAAGTAAATTATAAATAAAAAAAAAATCTCTTAAAATTTAAAAAATAAAAACAAAAATATGTTAAAATTTTAACATAATTATAATAAATTTCTATAAAAAAAATTTAATTCACAATCAAAAATTATAACCCTTATTATATTTCTTTTCTAAAATTTAAGGGTAATCACTATAATTTACCCTATTTTTTTTCCCCTCACAATCAAATTTGTTCACTTCACAACGAAGATATTCATGCTTTTAAAAATTAAAAAATAAAAATAAAAACTGAAATATAAATAGAAAAAGCAATATAACAGCTCAAACCATAAAAAAAATCAGGACCGTTTATTCATCATCTTATCAGCAGCCTCCTCTTTCTTCTTCCTGGTAGCATAATTCTTAGCATGGAAGTCAACGAAAAGAACCAAAAGCGAAGCGTTGAAAACCGCATTGAAGCACCAACCCCAGATCCCGGAGCACCCTAATCCGGTGAAATGATAATACAACATCAAACCCGACACCGCAAAGCTGAACACGAACTGTATAATCTGACAGTCGGTCACCAATCTCTTCCACCACGGACGCTTCCCCAGCGCGCACAATAAGTAGTATGCGTACATTAGCGTGTGAACGGAGGCGTTGGTAACGAGCGCCACTGGGAGGAGAGACTGTGATGTGGAGAGCCACAGGTAACACATGATAACAACCACGGCGTGGTGGTACACGTGGAGGAAGGAGAGCCGTCTAATGCTGGTGTTGAGGATGATGAGAAGGGTGTCGATGAATTCGAGGAGTTTTGAGAGGTAGAAGATGTAGGCCCAGAAGAAGATGGGCCCAGTGGGCTTGGTTTGGTTTTTGGGGAAGCAGAAGATCCATTTAGGGTTGGGGATTTGGGAGAGGGTGGAGAGGGAGCAGCCTAGAGCCATGGTGGCGGAGAGGAGGAGGAGGAGGAGGTTGTGGGCGGCGGAGATGCGGTGGAGGAGGGTGGCGGAGAGAGGAGGGAGGTGGAGGCGGTGGTGGTGGAGGAGGAGGGTGAGGGTGAGGTAGGTGAGGACTGTGAAGGTGAGGAAGTGGAGAGAGGAACCCCATGTGTGGCCTTGTTTCCACTCGAATTGGCTGATTGTTGGGTGGTCTACTAGCCAGTAGTGGAGGTGGAAGGAGAGGTTGTTCATTTTGTGCCTCCACGCGCCGCCGTGGAGGGAGGTGGTGTATGGGATGAGAGAGGTAGAGAGTGGATGCTAAATTGGGAAATTAGAAGTGACATACAATGATAAGGTTTTTTATATATTTTTGGATTATTATATACTATCGTTTAAAAAGATTTGGAAAATTTGCAAGAAAAGTCCTAGAGTATGGCTTAATAACAAATTAAACACTAAAATTTTAATATCTATCATATTAAATCCTGCATTTTTAAACGAGTTTCAACTCTATCCATTTGTCCAAATTCGTTTCTATAAGTGACGAAGATGGATAAATTAGTCTTTTTACCAGTTTTCTCACCACTGTCCCTCTCACCACCATTGCATTTTCTTCTACATTTCCTTTAATTTTTATTTTTTTTTTGATCAACGAAATGAAACTTTATTGATAAAGAAAGCAAGAAAAAAGATTGAATGTATATTTAGCTTTTGGTTGTGAATCTTTAAAAAAAAAAAAGAAAAAAAAAAGAAAGAAAAAAGATTGAATGTATATTAAGCTTTGGTTGTGAAAAAAAAAAAAAAAAAAAAAGAAAAACATATGGGGAAATTAGTGGGTACCCATCCCCAACCCATCCCCTGTGGATATTTAAAGAATATCACCTACCCTACCCAATGGATAAAAAAAAGAGGGGAAAACCCATGTATTTAGGTTGGGTCTCCATGGATACCCACAGGGTAGGTTATCCATTGCCATCCCTACTCTGATTTGGTTCTCATAAAATTCTTTTTACAAAGTTCAATATTCTTAGTATTTTTTATTATTTTATTTTAGGTTTTTTTTTTAGTTTTATTTTTGTCTTTAACGGGCATTTTTTTAAAATATGTCAACTTTTTTTTTCCCAAAAAGTCTAGGGACTCAAATTTTGGCAAAGAATGGATCCTGTGGTAGATATTAAAATTGTCTACCATGGGGTATGTGTGTATAATGAATTTGAATCACATGTTGATATTTTTTGATAAATTTTGAATATATTTTTCTAGGAAGACTTGAGAAGAAAAAGTTTTTTGACTGAAGGGAAAAAGGACAAGACAACCTTGACAACAAGCTAACAAATTTAGCTTTTGACAAGAAATGTATTAGGAGAAGAGAGAAAGAGATCGAATGGCAATTTCCTAGAGCAAAAATTGTAATATGATGACTTCAGTTGATTTGCTAAAAAAATTGATAGAGTCAGAGAAACTAACTGCACATGAACATAATGATATTAAAATAAAACTATAAAACTCATGCTACTCCACTTTTTATTTATTTTATTTATTTTTATCTTACAATCGAATATCTAAGCACTTCTATCACTTACAAAGCAAATAGCAACATTTAAAAATAAAATTGCTAAGTTTGTGCCCAATACGATCTAGAAACATGAAATAAGCATCTCTCCAAGACATCTCGAAGAGTAAAAGGCCCACCACAATCCAAAAACCAACTACAAATCCTAGTGCCAAGCTCAAAAAGAACCACACTTCGAAAATGAGAAATAAACACAGACACATGGCAAGTGATTAGCTTGACATCTGACAGATTCTTAGCCATGCTAACAAAGAGGGGTAACTTTACTTTTATTTTATTTATATGATAGGATAAGATGCTGTAATTTTCTGGTTAAAGAAATTAGGGTAAATTACATTTACCTCTCTTAAGGTTTTTAACAAATACAGGGACCTCTCCTGTGGTTTGAATAATTACAGTAACCTCCCTACTTTATTTGACAATATCAAGATTCCCCCCTGCTGTCAAAAATCACTAAACGGTGTCACTTTTTCCTTCAAAAATTACTTTATTGCCCTTCCCTTTAAAAATATTAAAAAATGTTTTTGGATTGGAGGATAAGTTTAGAGTGTTTGGAACAGTATTTTTAGATTTATTTTTTAAAAATATTAAAAAATGTTTTAAAAAAAATTATTTTTTATTTTAAATATATAATTTTTATTTAAATATTTTATTTTATTTTGTAAATATTTTAATTTTAATATTTGAAACTCAAAACACAACCCCACACTCAAATCGTAACCAAACACATAACTCAAAACTCAATTCAAAAATTATTTTCAAAACTTATATTCAAACACATAATTCGAAATTTTACACTACTTTCAAAACTCTACACTCAAATCGTAACCAAATACATAACTAAAAATTCAATTCAAAAACTATTTTCAAAACTCATAATCGAACACATAATTCGAAATTCTACGCTACTTTCAAAACTCCGCACTCAAATCACAACCAAACACATAACTCAAAATTCAATTCAAAAATTATTTTCAAAACTTATATTCAAACACATAATTCGAAATTTTACACTACTTTCAAAACTCTACACTCAAATCGTAACCAAATACATAACTAAAAATTCAATTCAAAAACTATTTTCAAAACTCATAATCGAACACATAATTCGAAATTCTACGCTACTTTCAAAACTCCGCACTCAAATCACAACCAAACACATAACTCAAAATTCAATTCAAAAATTATTTTCAAAACTTATATTCAAACACATAATTCGAAATTTTACACTACTTTCAAAACTCTACACTCAAATCGTAACCAAATACATAACTAAAAATTCAATTCAAAAACTATTTTCAAAACTCATAATCGAACACATAATTCGAAATTCTACGCTACTTTCAAAACTCCGCACTCAAATCACAACCAAACACATAACTCAAAATTCAATTCAAAAATTATTTTCAAAACTTATATTCAAACACATAATTCGAAATTTTACACTACTTTCAAAACTCTACACTCAAATCGTAACCAAATACATAACTAAAAATTCAATTCAAAAACTATTTTCAAAACTCATAATCGAACACATAATTCGAAATTCTACGCTACTTTCAAAACTCCGCACTCAAATCACAACCAAACACATAACTCAAAATTCAATTCAAAAATTATTTTCAAAACTTATATTCAAACACATAATTCGAAATTTTACACTACTTTCAAAACTCTACACTCAAATCGTAACCAAATACATAACTAAAAATTCAATTCAAAAACTATTTTCAAAACTCATAATCGAACACATAATTCGAAATTCTACGCTACTTTCAAAACTCCGCACTCAAATCACAACCAAACACATAACTCAAAATTCAATTCAAAAATTATTTTCAAAACTTATATTCAAACACATAATTCGAAATTTTACACTACTTTCAAAACTCTACACTCAAATCGTAACCAAATACAATCCAAAAATATTTTTTAATATTTTCAAGGGAAGGGCAATAAGGTAATTTCCTAAGGAAAAAGTAACACCGTTTAGTGATTTTTGACAGCAGAGGGGAATCTTGATATTGTCAGATAAAGTAGGGGAGGTTACTGTAATTATTCAAACTACAGGGGAGGTCCCTGTATTTGTCAGAAACCTCAGGGGAGGTAAATGTAATTTACCCAAGAAATTAATTATAAATATGAAAAAGTTACTCTACGTGGTTGTTTGGGATGTCTTAAATAAGTGTACTTTTTAATTTTTTTGACTAAAAAGTTGAAAAAAAAAAATATGATTGTTTGGGTTAATTTTTTGACTTTTTATGGAAAAATGTGTATTAAAAAATTATACAAATTAGTGTGCATGGGAAAATTAAGATTGTGAGTTATGCCGCTGTAATTTTTTACTTTTGGTGAATAGTAATAACTTTTTAACTTTTTGTGTAATTTTTTGATTTTTTGAACACATGCCAAACTTGACCTGAATTAGAATCAATTTTTAATATCAAATGGGAAAATTGTCACGATTTTAAAATCAAATAGTAAAGCCATTTTCAAAATAAGTCATAAAATCATTCAATTTTTAAATTCAAATGAAAAAATCAACCCATTTTTTAAAATCAAGATGTAAAATCAACGAGTTTTAAAATAAAATGGTAGAATCAACTTGAGTTTGAGTTTGATTTTGAATTTTCAAAAATAAATTTTAAGTTTTATATCTGAAGTATTCGAATTGAGATCAATTTGACCCTCATTATTATTTGTTGTCTACAATTATCGATCTTTTTTTGGGAGCAAAAATAGAGTATTTTTTTTTGTCATTGTACAGCAATCCTACATGTCTCTATTTACAATTTGGAATCCTAATTAAAAATTATAATATAATTTATGTAGTTGTGGTTGTGGTTGTCTCTCCTGTGTAGAGTTGTTGATCACAAGACAAAAAAGAATTTAGGGACCCAAGTAAAATTAAATTTAAATTTCCTCTATTATATACTATTTTAATGGATTATCCGAGCTCTTTTTATGAGCTGAAATTTATTTTTTCCGAACACAACCCACCAACAACATTGATAACATTGATGGCTCCCTACCAATGAGTAACTCACCTGAAATCTTTAGCACCAATTACCCAGCTCAGCTTCACACTCATTTTCTTGACCCAGCCACCACAATTGACAGTTGTGGATTTCGAATCTTCCAAGATTCGCAGCCAATATTCACTTCAGAACCAATATTCAACAGTTGTTGGGTCTTATAAATGCTTAACAATTGACAATTCGGGAGTTGCCAGTGTGTTTTCTATTAATGCCATACACTGTGTTCAATGATTCGACAAGTGTCTCTTCTCAAGTTAAATGATTTTTTTGGACAAATTATAGAAATGATTGCTATAATTTTTGCTTATTTTTTTTTTAATTCTTATATTTTTAATTATTTTAATTTTTCTCTTTAAAAAATTCAAATGGAAGGTCTATGAGAAGGTTGACCTTAAGGAAAAAATAATTTTCTTTTCATTTCACTGAAAAAGTAAAAATAAAATAAATTTATTATTTTTAATTAAATTAAATTTATAATTTATAATTTGCATTTTTTATTAATATATAATTTTAAATTAACAACACAAAAAAAATAATTTATAAATTATAAATTTATTTGTCTTATTTATAAGGCCATAATTTATAATTTATAATTTTTAAGGCCATAATTTATTATTTATTATTTTTAATTAAATTAAATTTATAATTTATATTTTTTTATTAATATCTAATTTTAAATTAACAACACTAAAAAAAATAATTTGTAAATTATAAATTTATTTGTCTTATTTATAAGGCCATAATTTATAATTTATAATTTGTATTGTTAATTTATATTTTTTTATGAATCCCCAGACTATTTGATTGAATTGGATGTGTATCCCGGTGTTTGTTTTCTCATGAGATTAGATGTCTAGAAATGACTATTTTTAGCCTCCGTTTGGGAAGTGGGTTGGCTTTTTGGCTTTTTGGCTTTTTTGGCTATTTTAGCTTGGGCTTAAAAGTTTGGTTTGGGAAGGACTTTTTGGCTTTTTGGCTTTTTTGAGTTTTTTTGTGAGAGAAGAATGTAATGATTATGGGTTGGATGTGATGTTTTGTTTGTTATGGCTAAAATAGCCTATTTTGTTTTTTGTGGCTAAAATAGCCAAAAAAGCCTACAAACCCACTTGCCAAACACAAGCAAAGTCTAATATTTAGTTGGACGAACTGGATAAGGATAAATGTGTAAAAGACTATTTTATCATTTTTCAATTGTTTACTAAGTAATAGCAATATTAAACATATCTTTAATATTTTAATTATTTTTAACTAGATTAAATAAAAATTTATTTTATTTATTTAAAAAAGTCAAAATTGTCCCGTGCATGCCTTGTACGCATGGAATTTCCCTACTTTTCTCTATCCATCATTCTTATGAACTTTTTTTTATTCATGGAAAAATTGGTAATTTTACATAAAAATATAAAAATTGAAAAAATTACCAAACATTGCACGAGTCAAAAAGTTAACAATGTATCAAATAAATTAGTTTTTTTAGTATTAAATTTTTATAAGTTGATTTTGAGTCAATAAATTATGTTTTAGCTAAAATTTTAATAAAAACTATATTTTAGCAAAGAGACAGGTTACTTCATTACACCTCTATTTGGTTGAGTTCTAAAAATTATGTTTTGAAGAATATTAAAATTTTTAAAATTAGTTTGATAAAAAAATAAAAATATATATTATTTTCATCTCATTTTTTATTTTTGGGTAGGAAATAATTTTTAATATTTTTTAAAATTTTATTTTTGATATTTATGTATATTAAATTAATTTTTAATATTTAAAAAATAATAATTAAAGACTACCAAATGGAGTCTAAGCAAATCTTCTAGAAGCAAATAATCTCTTTGTCGTGCCATGGAATCTAGCCGGACTTCATATCTCTCATATGACGGATTAAACAATCCTAGGGAGAGAGATTATTTCCATGAGTTTGGTATTCCATGGGACTAACGTGTGAAATGTCTATTTTACTGTCACGCTATTATTTAGTAAATATATCTTTAATATTTTAATTATTTTTAACTAGATTAAATAAAAAATTATTTTATTTTATTTTTTCACACAATTAAATAAATTTATTTTGAAAAATTAAATAAATCAAAATATATGTTATTTTTTTAATTAAAATTTTAAATAAATTTATTTTAAAAATTAATAATAATTAAATAAAACATCTATTAAACAAATTGAATTGATCAAAAAACACTCAAGAATGTCAAAATTGGCCTGCACGTGCCTTGCACACGTCGATTTTCCGTCCAAATGTCTAACCACCGTTAACTATTAGATCATTTCGAGCTAAAAACCAAACTACAAGAGTAAAATTGAAACAATTAAAAGTGCATGAACCAAAATAAAAACACGGGTAAGGTATAGGACCATTTCTGTAACTTGCCCCTTTTTTTATCTTTTCTAAAGGCTTCAATGTGGAGGTTCTATAGTATCAATGGCGTCAAGTATGCAATTATTATTGTTTTCTTTTGTTGATTGACTTGAGATTTTGGGATTTAGATTTTATTTATTTATTTATTTTTGAAATCGCACAGTGTTGTGTGTAAACCGTAAGATATGCTGTGTTCATATAAACTCTTGTTTGAAAAATGTTTGGATTTTAATGATCCGTGCCATATGAATATGCCTATTACCTAGAACAATGAAAGTGCACCAGTCATATTAATGTACCCAACGATTTTAATGATCTCATTTTCCAAATAGGATACCAGTCTACTAGCATTTCAGTATATTTTCAGGGGGAAAAAATTTATGAATGGATAAAATGATGTTAAGGAGAACATCACCATAAAGGCACGATTTGCAATCACCTGTAAAGCCATTAGCTTCAAGCTTGCTTAGGAGATTTGTATAGGCTTAACCTCGGTATGTTCTATGTTATTATAACCTCTATATATAAACCCTCAATTGAGATGAAAACAAAGATCAATTCCTGAAATTCTTGCACTCTCTCTTATATTAGGAAAAAATTCTAACGAGAGACAAATGTAAGACGTAACGAACATGGTTTTATCTTTATGGATAATTTTTAGAACGACAATTTTCTTGGCCTCTGATTTGGTTCTCATAAAATTCTTTTTACAAAGTTCAATATCCTTAGCATTTTTGTTCTATTTTAGGTTTCTTTTTTAGTTTTATTTTTGTCTTTTAACGGGCATTTTTTCAAAATTTGTCAACTTTTTTTGTTTTTTTTCAAAAAGTCTAGGGACCCAGGATTTGGCAAAGAATGACTTGTGTAGTAGAGATTAAAATTGTGTATTATGGAGTATGTGTGTATAATGAATTTGAATTGCATGTTGATGTTTTTTGATAAATTTTGGATATATTTTTCTGGGTTGTAGTTTTTTTTTTTTTTTTTTTAAAAGTCTAGGACTTGAGAAAAAGTTTCTTGACTAAAGGGAAAAAAGACTAGGCAACCTTGACAACAAGCTAACAAATTTAGCTTTTGACAAGAAATGGTATTAGGAGAAGAGAGAAAGAGATCGAATGGCCATTTCCTAGAACAAAAACTGTAATATGATGGCTTCAGTTGACTTGCTAAAATAATTGATAGAGTCAGAGAGACTAACTGCACATGAACATGACATAAAATAAAACTATAAAACACGTGTTACTTCACTTTTTATTTTTTTATTTATTTTTATCTTACAATCGAATAAGTGACCACTTCTATCATTTACAAAGCAAATAGCAACATTCAAAAATAAAATTGCTAAGTTTGTGCCCAATACGATCTAGAAACATGAAATAAGCATCTCTCCAAGACATCTTGAAGAGTAAAAGGCCGACCACAACCCAAAAACCAACTACAAATCCTAACGCCAAGCTCAAAAAGAACCACACTTCTGAAAATCCCTCATCTGCTTCACCTCCATGTCCAACTTTAGCTATTGTCGTGTTTGTGCTGCAGTTTATAAGTGGAGGTCCACAAAGTTTGTTCCCAATAAAGCTGGATTCATCTAAGCTTTGAAGCTGAGTACTTGATGGAATTTTTCCTGTCAAATTGTTATAAGACAAATTCAAGTAACTCAAGAATGACAAACTTGACATGCTAAATGGAATCTCACCGCTAAGTTGGTTGAAAGAGCAATCAAGGGATTCAAGTTGTCCCATATCACCAATATTCTCGGGAATCCCTCCTGTTAAATGATTTCTAGACAAATTCAGAGACCACAATCCCACAAGTCTAGTTAGTCCCTTGGGAATTTCTCCAAATAAATTGTTTTCTGAAAGATCTATGCTTGTCACCAATTCAAGAATGGTGCTATATAGAACCTCTCTTCCTTTGGTCACCAAAGTTGCACTTTCAAAATATTCTCCCCTATATGTGAGATAGGATAGGTGGTTACTTGAGTGTTGTTTTCTTGCCATGGCACTAAAATTGTTGAAACATGTTGGCACAAGTCCTGAGAGATTATTATGTGCAAGGTCCAAGATTTGAAGAGCACCTAGACGACATAGTTCATATGGAATATCACCTTGAAACTTATTTGCATGAAGGTTGAGAACTATCAAATTTGAAAATGAATTCCCAATCCAAATCGGTATGCTTCCAGTAAATTCATTTTCACCAAGATCAAGGGTCAACAAGTTTGTACAGTGTTGTAGAGACTCTGGTAGTTCTCTTGAGAGGTTGTTATGCCGCAAATGCATCACCTCGAGGAAATTTAAATTTCCAATGGAGGGCGGAATGTTACCCATCAGAGTGTTGTTTTCCAATCTTAGGATTTGCAAAAATGGCCAATGCCCCCAACAGTCAGGAATTCCTCCTGATAGATAATTGTCTCCAAGAAGAAGAGCCATCAGAATATTGATTGGTTTCTCCCCTGTACCACATATGACGTGGTGAATAGATCCTGAAAAATAATTGTTTGAAAGATCTAGTGCCGACAAATTAGAGGAGATGAATGGTAATTGACCCTCCAAATAGTTGGAACTCATGTCAATTATTCCAAGGAAAAGAACCTCTATTATTCTTGGAATCTCTCCGTGGATTTGGTTACAAGAGAGATTTAAATAATTTAATCGGGAAGACATGTTCCAAAACCAGGTGGGAATGGAATCTGAAATATTTGTGTTGGCTAGATCCAAATCAGCTAACTTTTCTTGAGATTCAAGCCATAATGGAAATTTTGGCCCTAATTGCCATGAGGTCAGTGACAAACGCTTAATTTGAAAAGGAGGAACCCAACTATCACTTGCTTTCAAAATTAAATTGTTTCCAAATGCATAAAAGGAACATAATCTTGTGAGATTAGCAAAGTGAATGTCAGAGACAACACCCTTCAACAAATTATTCGAAATATACAACCATTCTAACTTGACAAGTTGTCCAAGAGTTTCAGGAAGTGTTCCATTCAACTGATTTTGAGAAAGATCTAATCTTATCAAGGATGATAATTTTCCTATCGATGCTGGAATTAGACCAGAGATGTTGTTATTGGAAAGACATAGGTCGGCAAGATTTTTGAACTGGCCAAGCTCATCCGACAAGTGACCAAGTAGATCATTAGAATCTAATGCCACCCACTCCAATCCATCTAACATGCACTGGGAGAAAATTTTGAAAACTTGTGCTATCTCCCCGCCAAATTTGTTACTTGATAAAGCAATTTTCTTTAACTTGCAAAGCTTTCCCAATGAACTTGGTATTCTTTTCTCAAGTTGATTGAATGATAAATCAAGGGTAACGAGGGAAGTCAAGTTTCCAATGTCACCTGAGATTTCACCTTTCAAGTGATTGTCTGCGAGATTGAGGGACTCGAGCTGGCTCAAATCATACAACCAATTTGGCATGGTAGAATTGACAAAATTCCAAGACAAATCCAAAACTCTAAGAGAAGTCATGTTCAAAAGCCCAATTGGAATTGGTTCTTTGAAATTATTGTTGCCTAAGCGAAGAGAAACGAGACCAATGAGGCTAAACAACCCCTTAGGCATCGGGGAAATTAGATTATTTTCAGAAGCATCAAACACTGTAAGAAAAGTCATGTTTTGAAGACCATTAGGAAGTGGACCATAAAAGTTACATCCACTGATATCTAGGGAAACTAGGTGACTTAGACTGAAAATCCACCCAAATACAGATGACTCGAATTCATTATAGGAAAGGTCAAGGATGGCAAGTGATGTGAAGTTAATGTTAAATGAAGGAGAAACATATTTGAGTTCGCAACTAGACACGTGTAATTCTGTCAAAGAAGGGAGGGCATTTATCACCTGTAGCCAATCCAATGCTTTGCTAAGGTCCACCCGAAGCATATCAAGGTGTTGTAATGAATGAAGACCCGAAAGCCATTGCAAATTATCACCATGTAACTGTAATACATTGTAATTAAAAACACGTCCAAGATCAAGATAACCATAATTAGTAGTAGTACCTCCGAGACCAAGATAACGCATCATGGTGAGATTTCCAAGTTGATGGGGAATGGTTCCGCTAAATCCAGCTTGAGATAAGTTGAGGTATCTCAATCTTCCAATAGAGCCAATGAAGCTTGGAATGGGAATCCCTTCAAAATCATTGCAACTTAAGTCCAGGTGACGGAGATACTTCAAATCGAGTAGAGAAGGATTTATCGTGCCACCTAACTTGTAACTCAAATAAGCTTCATATTCAGCTTCAGTTTGATCAACCCTGAAAGGATGAAGATTACGAAGGCGGATCATATGGACATGGCCAGTTAAGTTGTTGCAAACAACTCCTGCCCATTGACAACAATCCTCACCAGCCCAAGACGACAATTGGTTTGAAGGGTCTTTAAGATCTTGCTTGAATTTTAGAAGGGCTTGCTTCTCGGTTTCATTGCAAATGGTATTGGATTTTCCATTGCAAAAGCAATTATGAAAGGTTGCAATGGTGAGATAGGCAACACAAAAGGCAATTGTTGCACTTCTCATGAATGAACCCATGATCATGCAAGACATCACAAGGCAATTTGTTTTTTTGGTTTGTTTGTTACAAGTGGGTTTGTTTGTATCTCATGTTACAAGTGGGCTTTGGTATTTATAGAGTAATGCTTGGTCCATACCGTGGCTGGTCTTGCGCAAGAATCCAAATTTCGTTGACTTTAATAGTACATTCTTCTTAAAAAGGGTATGTTAAGGTTCGATGGAGAGAGTGCTTTTTTGGACCTGAGCAGAAGAGGCCTTAATGAGCAATACTACAGTTTCAGATTTTTTTTATTTTTATTTTTTTATATTTAATTTCAAGAGACATTAACCTGTGGTCTAGATTTATTTAAGCCATAAATCTCACAATGTATTAGTTAATCTCAATCACACATTTTTTTTAACGTTCTAAAAAAAAAAAACTCACAATTTTTTTCTGAATAAGTTTTGTGTCGTCTGAGTTAATAGCCTTATCTAATATGGGTTATGTTAGAGATCTTAAATAATTTATCAAATTTTTTATTAAACATCTTATATGGATATAGAATCCATATACATGTAGATTTGTGTAAATCTTACACCAATATAAAAAATTTGATGAAAAATTTAATAAATCACTTGACACGTATAGTATTTTCCATCTAAGACAAATGGGGAGTAGTTGGCCAAGGACCCACTAGTCTCATAAATTTTGTGTTTATCTGAGTTAATAGCCTTATCTAACACAAATGGAGTAGTTGGCCAAGGACCCACTAGTCTCATCTCATCCTAGCGTTATTGAATCTTAAATGGAATATAAGGCTATGGATGTAATTTCGATTCGGCCGGGTTCATGTCGGACCTTGCAGGTTCCTGTTAAAAAAATTAGGCCGGGTTGAGTCACAGGCTAGAAAATTAGGCTCAGGCCAAAGGGTATTCGAGCTTTGAGCAGGCCTAAATAATTTTTAAATTTTTTTATATTTTTTCTACTAAAATTTTATTATTTTTCATCAAAAATAAAACTGGCTCTCGGGTGGGCCGACGTGGGCCGGGCTTTTGGGCGGGCTAATGGCTCGGGCTTCAAAACGATGGCTCAGGCCCAGGCCCTGGCCCAAGGCCTCGGGCTAGGCTTGGGTTCGGGCTTTAACGGGCCGGGTCCACCTCTGGTCACGGGCGGGCTTTGGGTCGCCCGCGGGCCACGGGCTAAAATTACACCCCTATATAAGGCCCTGTTTGGGAAGGGCTATCTTAATTAAAATTATTAATAAAAATAAAATAAGTTAAAATAATTATTAATACAAAATATTACATCTAATTCATAATCATTTTATTTTATTTTTTCATAACCATTAAAAAAAAATCAATTATCTCTTTAAATATAATTTTTTTAACTAAATTAAAATAATTAACTTTCAAAACGGGGCGTTATTGATGTAAAAGCTAGTAAGGTAGGGTTTTTATTTTCTAAAGTCTGTATTTAGGTTTTTTTTTTCTAAAGTTTGTATTCTATCTAAATGTTTTAAATTTTTTATTAAAAAAAATTTAATATTTATTGATTTGGTTAAAATTTTTTAATCAACATTTCTTAACTATTTTCAATTTACATGTCATTTCACATGCCTGTATTTATTGATTTGGTCAAAATTTCCTAATCAGCATTTAAAATCTCTTCATACAAATACAAATAATTATAGATACAATCCGTGTATAGTTACTGCAGTATATTTTTCAACTTTTCTCATACACTATGGTTAGTAATAAGATTGTTAAATTATTTTTATAAAAAATCTTAAAAAACATAATTTATATATTAAAAAAATCCAAAACAAATATAAATAACTATAATTATTTCATATATCTATATCTATATTTATATCTATCTATTTATTTATATCTATCTCTAACCCACAAATTTTGTGAGAATTCCAATATCTGAACCTTAATTTCTTAATTTTTTTTATTTTTTTTGAAAAAAAAAAACTTAACACTTATTATATTCTTCTATAGCGATCTCGGTTTCCCTTTCATTGGTGGTTGTGTATATCTTGTTTACATCCTTTACTCTTTGTATTTGAGTCTTGGGTTGTGTTGGGCAGGTGTGAAACAGGTCGGTTGAGCTTAGGAACCAAGTGTAGTTGCCCAGTTTTTGGCCTGTCCACTCGAGCGGAGATTTTGGCGCTCGAGCAGGAAAATCAACCTTCCAGTATTTTCCTCTGCAGGGTTGTCCGCTCGAGCGGGAGTTTGGGCGCTCGAGCGGGAGTTTGTATGTTACGCTCGAGCAAGGAGTTGGACACTCGAGCAGGGACCTGGTTCTGCAAAAGTGCTGGGTGTGTGTATTCAGCGCTCGAGTGGGACCGTTGACGCTCAAGCGGGAGTCTGTGAGTGACGCTCGAGCGGGGGTTTGGCCGCTCGAGCGGGGCGACTGGGTTAAAGCTCCGTGTTTTGACTTTTTAAAATCACTTTTTCACTTCTCTTCTCTCTTACTTTTCCAAAAACCCCATTGTTGAGCTTCTCACTCTAGAGCTCTACCTTCTCTCTAAGTATTGATCTAGTAGAAGTGATTTCCTCACCTTTGGCTTTTACAAAAAAGTTATTGATCGTCGAGGGCTATCTTTTGATCCGAGAAATTCGTGATTTGGAGCATTTTTGTTTTCTTCACCTTCTCGGTTGGGAGTCATCTTTTGAGGTAGGGATAACCTACTCCCTACTATGGATTTTGTCTTTAAATTTTAGTATTTTGAGATGTTGGGGTTGGGTTGGTAATTTTGTGAAAGTTTGGGGCTTTTGTGTAAATTTACAGAAGTTGGGGTTTTAGCTATATAAAACCTAGATGCATGTTTGGCATGGAAAAGTGAAATTAATGTTAAGACATTAATGAAAATGGAACCTAAAGGTTGTAATGTTAATTATGGAAAATGCCCAAATTACATTAGTTAATTAATTATGAGAAATGAGGAATTGAATTGGAAAGTTGTGGGATTAAAGGGTGTAGTTGGATTATTTATCACTCACCTAGTTGGAATGTTGATGGTATATCCATTGTTGCATTTATTTTCTGTATAGAAATAACTGCTTTGGGCTATCAGTGGAGGATAGTCTTGATTGTTGTAGACAATGCATGATGATTAGGCAAACTGAAACTGATCACTGGAATGTGTCATTGAGATTGACGATTGAGAGAATACATTAAATTTATGTATTGTGTGATGATGTGTATAATTACTATTTGTATGCATTGTGTTGTGTTGGAGGAGATAGGGGATGTACTCCACGGTTTAGGGGAAGATAGGGGATGGACCTCTAAACCAGATGTTGTTGGGAGGAGATATGGGATGGACTGTGTAGATAGAGCTCGTATGCTTGTCATTGGAAGTGTGATAGTGCTCATATGCATATCTGTGGAAGTAATGATATAGCTTGTATGCTTATCTGTTGGTGTGTGATATAGCTAGTATGCTTATCTATTATGGAATGGGAAAGTGCTTGATATAAGTTACTGTCTCATATGAGTTGTTTGGCCAGGTTCTGAGCCATGGTTATAAATTGAGAATTTGAAAGGAATTGGAAAATGAATGGTAATATGGACTTGTATGTCATGAAAATGTAAAGTGTGATAAGGAAATGTATCAGTGTTGGCCATCTATCAACTGCTAATCTTTTAGTCATTGTTCATATGCTAAGCATGTTGGATTTTCTATA